GGTTCAGTTGTGATCCTCTGTTGGGATTTTATTTTCTTTGTCATTTGGAAGTTTGTTAGTGTTACATTTCTATTTCTTTCGTCCGCTGCCTTTGTTCTCTTTTCTTTATTGTTTCGTTTGAACGTGCAGGGATTTTAGGGAGACGTCGGTAGCCTAGTGGTTAGACTACCGGACCCGTAATCGTGATATTACGGGGTCAGGGGTTCGAACCTCAGCTCGGTCCGGCGTTTTGTCCCTGGGAAAGACACTTAACACACTTTCCCACTTGGCTCGGTCCTTTCGGAGATGGACGTTAAACGTGGAGTTCCCACCTGTTAAACAATAACCTAATAGTGTTGATAGGGGCATTAAACTTTTACCATTTCACCAGTTTCGTATGTTTTTTGTTTTTTGTTTTCAAACCGCAGAAAAAGTGGGAGGGGGTCCCTTAGAAGGATACACTTCATACTGAGATCGCATTGTGTTCTCTGGGCATCATCTTGGCCCTATAAAATATAGATCTACGTCTCGCTCGGAATTGATACCTGACTGTTGGAGGGAAATTCTCAATCTTGCCTTATTGTCGTGAGTGTGTAGCTCCTTTCTTTTCATTTCTTTTTCCTGGTCAGGGTTTAATAAAGACCCGTCAGTTTTCCACCCAAGCGACCTCCCCTGACACCTCGGCGACAAGGGGAGCTCACTGCCAGTCAGAGCGAGCTGTTGGCTTGTGTTGCAGCTTTATTAAATTCTCTCCCGTGTTTTCATTGGTTATCTGCTTGCGGGGCCGCCATTTTTTCCTTTGCCAGAAAAATAAGCGAGATCAGGGGAGAGAAGTGATTGTGTGTGTGTGACTGCTGGATTAAAGAGAACGTCCATAGACTGAACACATCCTGCTTAGTTGTTTAAATATGTGTTTTTACGCCTCTCCACACAATTTAGATCATTTTGGAAGCTGAGGGGCTTCGGTAGCCTAGGGGTTAGGCTACCAGACTCGTAATCGTGAGATTGCGGGTTCGGGGGTTCGAGCCTCAGCTCGGTCTGACGTTGTGTGCTTGGGAAAGACACAGTGCACGAATTTTCCATTTGGCTCCGTCCTTTCGGAGATGGAAGTTAAACTCGGAGGTCCCGCCTATCATATAACCTAATAGTGTTGATAGGGCCGTTAAACCCATACTATTTCACATTTTGGAAGCGAGCTTCGATTCTGTCAGCCAGGGCCAACACGGCAGAGATTGATACAACATCCCATCAGAAAGATCAAGATACTCGTTAAAAATTCTCTCGACACAGGAATCAAACTCAAGTCTTCTGCGTTTGATGGCGAAGACCTAAGTGTACACCACTGAAGCCGATGAACAGCTGTTGCTTATTGTTATATTTAGGCAAACATATAAGAAAAAATGAAGGAGAAACTGGAAAGAAAATGACTGTGTGTAATTGCGGAAAAATCTCAAAGTTCTTACGTTCTTTTCTTCCTTCTATATAGTTTAGTTTTTGTAAAGCGATACACATACACAACATAACAGCCATTTAGTGAACAGACAAACAAATCCAGATAAAGAAAGGAGGTAGGACTTGTTTCCCTCGCCCACTCGTATCAAATAACAACATCTGATGAGTATAACGTTACGTACGTGATTTATTAGCTGTAATAAACGCAAGTTTATGAAGTGGTTAGTTTTGTAAGACCTACCAGTGGCACCGTTCAGCCGCTAGCCGGCTTGCTTTCCTGGTACTTGCGCATCTTCATCCTCATCATTTAAGTTTACATTTATCCTGGAAACGTACCCCCCGGGGGATACCACTGACTGAAGTGTCTTTAGGCCATTCCCAAGGAGGGGACATTTCTCGTTCATGCACAGTAGAATTGTAAGTGGGCTGATTCATCAATGTCACGCTCATAACTGTGCTTGATCTACAACAGGGAACTGCTACTTTTTCTTTCCTAATCCTTGCTATCGTCATTTTTCCTCTACTTCTTTTGTATGTTTGTCACTCTCTTGTGACCTGCTATTTTCGGTGTGCCTTGAAAGTCAAAACAGAGTTTGTGCTGTTGAAGCTAGAGAGGTGAGCAGAGTAAGCCTGATTCCCTGTAAGGACTTCTCTGTTGATTTCCACCCTTATGCAGTTGCGAGCGCCGTAAAACCTCTACTAAAACTAGCTAAAAAGAGCAACATCACAATTATGAGTCCGGTAGCGTAACCACAAGGCCACTGTTGCCACACATTTGAACAGGTTGTCAACATTACGTTATCCGATTATGGCATTCTTATGTTGTTTATCCCCACATGTTTTCTCTTTGTTTTTCTATTTCCAGGCGTGAGGTCTATCGTCAAGGAATTAAAGTGTCCATTCTGGAGCCAGGGTACTTCAAAACAAATATTCTCAACTTTGAGTTCCTCACGGGCAAATGTAAATCTTCCTTTGACCAGGCTAGTGATGAAGTGAAGACAGCCTATGGTCCAGATCATGTGAAAAATTGTGAGTAACAATCAACTTTCAATTCCTGCAGTTGTGTTTCTCTTACCCACCCTCATACATTCTCCCCCACCCCCTTCTTTTTGTAGACCTTACTTTGCAGGACATAGTGCATGACTATTAGTAAACACAGTCGAAATTGTCCAAGATGGCCACCCACGTTCAAGAAGGAGAATGTTTGTCTTAGACAGGTGGATGTTTGGGGCAGTGTCATTATTATATTCTTTTAAAAAATGTAAGAGGTGGAAATGGAAAGTGGTTGTTTGTTCAGGTGATTGTCTTAGCTGTTGTTAGAGCTGGTTCGACTGCAATTTTGGGCAATCTAGAGTAGTTTTCTTTTACATTACAGTGGAAACCTGATATAACAGAGATGATGGGACCAGAGGAAAAGCCCTGTTATATCAGATCCCTGTTAAATCAGAAATGCAAGGGAAGTAAGCATTTGTGGACTAATTCAGCTGTATTTATTCATGGGTAGTTTCCCTTGCCACAAGTACCCTCAAACAAGGGTTTTAGCCATGTGGCAGGCCTGCGCATGACGCATTATGTGTTCGTGTAGCTAGGCTAAGGGCTAGATCGAAGTCTGCAGCACACCGCAGCCCTCTTGCGCTTCATCCGCTGCATGTGCTTACAGTGGCGTGGGCTTGCTCCATCACTGCGTTACTCTCTCTCTCTCTCTTATTTTTTACGCATTGTTAACGAGCCTTTGTCCCTGCTTTAACCGATTTGGGCTCTGATGAGGCCCTGTTATTGCCGATAAGTTTTAAGAGAGACAAAGAGTAACGGGGATTTTAAAAATCCTTGTTATTACCGGATCCCTGTTATTACCAGGCCTGTTACATATGGTTTCCACTGTAGATAGTCTTTGCATCTGTTCTTTGTGTGCTAATCTTTTCCCCTCCTTTTTCTGTTCTCAGACGTGACTTTGGTAAGCGAGACGATGAAAGGGGCCTCCGCAGACATAGATCAAGTTGTCGATGCCTATGTGCACGCAATAACTTCCAAATTTCCTCGCACTAGATACGTTGTTGGAAACGACGCCAGATTTATTTATATCCCTCTGTCACTTGTCCCGGATTGGTGTGGCGACTGGATTGTTCGCTCCATGATGAGTTTTATGTTGTCCAAGAAAGGTTGAGAATTTTTACGTAATTTTCTATACTGAATATTGGGCATGACCAAAGATATGGATTCCAAAGTTGAAAAGTATAGTTTCCTGTCCAATGCTACGATCCAAACTCAGTTCTTATTAAAAGATCTAAAGCAACTGTTAGACATACATGCATTTAGTGGGTCAATTCGTTAAAAAAAACTGTGACCCTTTATTTTCTCAAGTGCAGTATGCATATACGTTTTAGATTATTGTTAAACAGGTTTTGCGAACTTCATACCTCGTTTACATATGAGCTCAAGTGATAAACAGGTAGGCCTATTTTCAAATATTATTTTTTTCAATTTTCAGAGACACAAAACACTTCTCGTCCTCCCTTTTCTTGTCGTTTTACCTGACAAAGAATAGGCCTGACTTATTGTTCTTGACTGTCTATACTGCATTTTTTATTGCTTTTATGGTGGTTGGAAAACAAAACAAAAAAATGATTTGAGAAGTTTTTCTTTTCCAATACCAATGAACAGTAATTCCCAGAATCACTACATTTTCAAGAAGTCTTGCCAGTCACTTTTTGAGTGTCTTAAGTTAAATTTTGTTTTTATTATATGTTTTGTATTAACTATATATATATATCTTTACTTACAGACTTAAAAATCATCTTTTTTTAAAACCTAAATCATCTTTTTTAAAACTTAAATCATCTTTTATCAAACTTGTCGACTATGGCTATAAGCAATCTAAAATACAAAGTGTCTGATGTAGCGGCAAAGAAATTAAAACGATTGACAATACAGGTTTCATGATGGTTGTTGGTGGGTGCTCTGGTATGGTTTGCTCCATCTTTTCTACAAAACATATATGTGTCATGGCGCAGAGGAATCCGGCGCTCGGTAATTTTTGGACATGTGGAGCTATTGGTATGATTTTAAAGCTTGTTCTTTTGTCCTCCTTTAGCTGAAAAAATATACTCATCTATCGGGAATAGACTTCGAGATATTTGAGGTTGAGGGAGGTGGGGATCGTCTGATTTCAGAGGTAAAATTGTTGAGAAAATGGCCGCCAAAGTTTAGCGACTTCCAAAACTTGAGAGTCCTTAGAAACTTCAAATTTACATTTTTGTGCCGAAAGTCAGCATTTTATAGTAAAATCCACCCAGAAATGTGTTTTTAAATGGACGTTTAAGGCGCTGAGTCAAAAAACAAAAATTTGATAAGAATTACCAAACGGATAGAAAAATGCCGGTTTCTTCGATTTCATTATTTTGACGAAGGCCTGATTTCACCATGATTTCACCATGATACCTCACATATACATTATCTCTCTTCCTTCTTTTTTTTGTATGTTAGTCTCTTGTAACACCTCTAATATGTTCAGCAATATATGTGACCTATATATTTGTGTTGCAAGGACTGTAAAAAAAAAGCCTTCTTACTAAAAAAAAAACATATTCTATTATGAGCTTGTAGTAAATCAAGTTTCTTTGAGATGTTGATTTGTTAAGTTTGCCCAGTGCTCTGTTGTACAATGATGTCTTTCTTATATGTTATATATACTCAGAATTACAACAAATGGTCACTTTTAAGAACAAGTGGGCTAACCATGATTCGGGGGTTTCTAGAATTCTTGACCTACTCCAAAAGTGAGCATTGCCCTACCTATAGGAGACCTTTGGTTTCAATTTCATTGGTGTGTATATTTGTTTGGTTATACAGAAAACTCTCCTTGTCTTTTAAAGAAACTGAACAAGGGTCCAAAACTTTACCTTCGATTTTTTCAAAGCAGAATTTTTCGGAATAGCCCCCTTGTGCTTAAAAGCGACCCAATAAAGTCAGATTTTTGTATGGTTTCAATGTATCATTATTGTAGTAAGGGAATAATGTAACCAGGTTTGCAAACTCAAAAAACTTCAATTGAATTGTCTTTGGGCACCTTTAATTTCATAGTTTTAAAATTTGCTCTGCGTGTGTGTGTATGTATGTATATGTGTGTGTTTGTGTGTGTGTGTGTGTGTTCATGTGTTTGTGCATGCATGCATGTGTGGGTGCATGCATGAGTGAATGCTTGTGGGCATGTGTTTTATATACATGTAATATTGACATGTTATGTCATGCCTGTATTATTGTGTGCATCCCATTACTCTGGGTAAGACTTTTTTACTAATTTTTTTTATGATTCTCTTTTTTAATCAGTCGATTTAATTTTAAATAAGTTTCCAAAGAGAGCTCATGTCAAAAGTATTAATTTATTTTTCATCAGTCGTAGCAACTTAATAAACCCTACCAGTGAAAGATCGTTGAACTTTATTCAAGGCCAAGGTCGGGTCATTTTGAACCCCTATACCTCCAAAGACGAAATTAACATTTCTCTGAATATTATCATGAGTGAAGTAGACATAGTAGAGTGCCACAGAGAGACGCAATTTGGTTTCAATTAGTGTTTATGACCAAAAGCAAAGACATTGGGTTGGGAGGTAAAGAAGGGGAATAATTTAGTACAGTAACAAGTTAGTAGCACTGCACTGGAGTAAAAAAATTAAAACAACAAAATGTGAGGCAATGCTGACAAAGTGAGATACTTCTCCCCATTCACAAATGGAGATATTGGCCAAAAATCAACCCTAGGGTAAAACTAATAGATTTTCTATTGATGCAATATTCTTTAAGTATAACATGCCTTTTGTTATTTCATACTTATAAATTGTAAAAAAAATTAACCTATAAGCGTGCTTTTTTCCCCTCATCCTTACTGTCGTCATTTTTCCTCTACTTCTTTTGCATCATCATCATGTTTGTCACCGTCTTGTGAACTGCTATTTCCGTGGTGCCTTGATAGTCGAAGCACACTTTGTGCTGTTGAGGCTCGAGAGGTGAGCAGAGTAAGCCTGATTCCCCATGTGGACTTCTCTGTTGACATCCACCCCTTGGCGCTCATTATGACCTTATTGAGTTGCGAGCGTCGTAAGCCGTAAAACCTTACTAAAACTAATAAATTATTACCAATATTGTGTTGATGTTCTGCTCTTTGCTCAAAACCCACATTTATTTTCCTTATATGAAATGGGATAATTATCATGACAACGTGAATTTTGTCTTGAAGTATTATTAGATTCTTGACTGATGAATGTTTTCAGACTTGGCTAATTGTTGAAGTTGACGATTGCATAGACTACTTCACAGAGTTGCCTTTTTGAGAGAGATATATCTTATATTATTGCAGTTGACCATTGCATAGACTACTTCACAGAGTTGCCTTTTTTAAATATATATATATATATATATATATATATAATGTCTACTTATGTTTATTTGCTTCGCTTTAAATAAAGGTTTTTCAAACCAAAGTAAACGGAAGGTAATGAGTGTTGATGTTCAAGTGTCTCATTTGCTCTGGTGTGGTCTGCTCCTTTTTCCTATCAAGCATCTATCACCTTTATTTTTCCTCCTTTAGGGGGCTCTCGTGGCCTTAGAGGTTAAAGTGTTGGCCTCTCATTCAAAGGTCCCGGGTTCGAATCCGAGTAGCTACCGAAAAATTTTCTTCTCTAAAATTGTCTCCTTTCACCTCCTTTCCTGCTCTCTAGCAATATTCTGTCGTCTGCTTTCGTCTCCTCTTTCTGCCCCCACCCCCTCACCTCCTTTGCCCCCTCCTCTGGGCTCCTGACTCTTTCTGCAGCCTTTCTGCCTCTACTCCTTGACTCCTTCTTACAGCTGTCTTTCTACCACACCCCTGTTCTTCTGGTAGGAAAGATCTACACCTAGCCTTCTCGGGCAAGGGCGAAAAATCTCGGGCAAGGGCGAAAAATCTCGGAGGGCCCGTGTGCAAGTTGCGCACGTTAAAGATCCCTTGGTGGTCTAAAATCGACAAGAGTAGGCTTTGGCCGCCACCCAGGCAAAATTCAAAATTTCCTACCAACTAAAAAATATTAGGTGTGTCCCGCGCGCTCATAGACCTTATGCAGTTGCGAGCGCCGTAAAAATACTTACCAAAACTAACAATTTTCCTCCTTCTTTTTTGTGTTTGTTACTCTCTTGCAGGACCTCTAATCTTCACGGTCCTATCGGAGACGGACGTTAAACTAAGAGGTCCCGCCCCTTAAATAACCTAATAGTGTTGATAGGGGCGTTAAACCTATACCATTTCACCATTTCTCTAATCTTCAGCTCTTATATGACTTAATTGTGTGGCAAGTGCCGCGAAACTCTTACTTATAGCAACCTAAACGTGCTGCACCCTTGTGACACAATGAAGACAGTTTTTCCCGGAATCTCCGTTGTGTATTGTGGAAGATTTTTCCGTCAACTCAGACCTTGTGTTACAAGTGCCTTAAAACTTTTACAAAAAAAGTCGGACAATGTGTATGTGTGTGTGTGTGAGAGAGAGAGAGAGGGGGGGGGGGGGAGAGGGGAGAGAGAGACCGAGAGAGAGAGAGAGAGAGAGAGAGAGAGAGAGAGAGAGAGAGAGAGAGAATGACATGCATCTCTATAAAACGATCAAATTAAATTACCCAGTCTAGCGGGCACAAAGTGAATATTTTTCGCTATGTACACATTTCGTAGTGTGTGTGTTATATATAACTAATACACAACTCCCGGGGGCGGTGCTGCTGACTGAAGCGTCTTTAGGCCATTCCCAAAGGGGGGACATTAACCTGTTCTTATGGGTAGTAGAATTGTAAATTGTAAATGGGCTGATTCATCAATGTCATGCTCATAACTGTTCCTGCACTGCAACAAGGAACTGCTGTTTTTTCTGTTCTAATCCACACTGTCGTCATTGTCCTCTATTTCTGTTGTATGTTTGTCACACTCTTGTGACCCTCTATTCCCGGGGTGCCTTGATAGTTGAAGCAGACTTTGTGCTGTTGAGGCTAAAGAGGTGAGCAGAGTAAGCCTGTCGATTCCCCGTTTGGACTTCTCTGTTAATATCCACCCCTTGGCGGTCATAATATGACCTTATGCAGTTGCGAGCGCCGTAAGACCTCTCTAAAACTAAGAGCAGTTGATGGATGGCTGAGGGTGCCACCGGCAGGTTATACATCTTTTGTTTCCCTTTGTTGTTTTCTGTCTGTCTTGCTCTTTCCCAGCTCCAAATGTCCATTAAGTATTGTGTTGATAATTTTCTCTTTAATCCTTAGCGGGCGGTTGGAGGGCGCCACTGGTAGGTCCTACTTCTTCACTTTCCCTCTATCTGTCGGTCTTAACTTTTCCAGTACTGAACAGGCTAACAATTTTTGTGTCGATGCGCTTTTCTTTAGTCAAACAAACAATTTTGCTCTTTACTCAAATTGATAAGCAAAACAGTTTTTGAAAGACACAAGCTATTAAACAGTATTAGCACAAGGGGGCTATCCCGAAAAATGCTGTTTTGAGAACATTGAAGATAAAGTTTTTGCCCCTTATTCGGTTTCTTTAAAAAAACAAAGAAAGTTTTCTCAATAACCAAACAATTCCCATTTCTGGGGTAGGTTAAGATTTCTGGAAACCCCCGAAATCTGGGTTAGCCAGCTTGTCCAGGGGTTTTCAGAAATCTTGACCTACACCAAAAGTGGGAATTGCCCTAACTATATGAGAAGTTTGGTTCATTGATGTGTATATTTGTTTGGCTATAGAGAAAACTCTCCTTGTTTTTTAAAAGAAAATGAATAAGGGGCAAAAATTTTATCTTAGATTTTCTCAAAGCAGCATTTTTCGGGATAGCCCCCTTGTGCTTAAAACTATTAAATTATTAAAGCGACCATAATAATTTTCGCAGTTCAACTTCCACTCAAACAGAATAAAACCATAACTCCCCCCAATGTGTCCTTTGTGTGACTATGCATGCATACGAGACTGTGAATCATACCTCTCTTCTACAGCACAGCCCTGAACGATAATGACACCAGAGCACAGAATTCAAGTGTAGAATTCTGTGCACCAGAGCGATACTTCTCCCTCCGAGACTATGGAAAATTACAGCAACTACTACAGCAAATCTGCACTTATCACTAGATCTACGTGACATTGGACAGTTAAGGGCGAGGGCTCCGATAACAACAACAAAAAACAGCAACGACAGCAACAACAAAAAAGCAACAGCAACAACAAAAACAATTATCATGCACATGACACATCACAAGGGAACGATTACATGTTGACTGAAACTAATACGTATCATCATCCTACATTATATCCACTGATCGTCGTTCCATGTTCACAGATCGCCGCTGTTTAGCCCATCTTGCTTGCACTTGCAGCCTTCATCGTCAACCCTGGCTTCTCAAGTTACTGGATCAACCAACCAACCAACCAGGACAAACCAGTAGTAGGCCTGTATGTTCCACAGTGCAGCACACAACAGCTTCAACAGCAGATCTACAAGGACATATAGCGGCTTTGTGACTTTGTGAACAGTCAGTACGACAGTACGTTGATACGTGTACCCCAGTAGCACACAACAGTAGATCTACTACAAGTACCATAGAGTGTAGTGTACATCTATGACAAGTACCTATAGCGGCTTTGTGACTTTGTGAACAGTCAGTACGACAGTACGTATACCCCAGTAGCACACAACAGTAGATCTACAAGTACCATAGAGTAGAGTGTGCATCTATGACAAGTACCTATAGCGGCTTTGTGACTTTGTGAACAATCAGTACGACAGTACGTATAACCCAGTAGTACACAACAGTAGATCTACAAGTACCATAGAGTGTAGTGTACATCTATGACAAGTACCTATAGCAGCTTTGTGACTTTGCGAACCGTTAGTAGGACAGAAGGCTACGTATACCCCAGTAGCACACAACAGCAGTAGATCTACAAGTAGCCTACCTATAGCGGCTTTGTAGCTTTGTGAACAGTCAGTACGACAGGAGTACGTGTGCTCGGTGGGTTCCTTCTTAAATCAGCTGACGTCGCCCAGGTGAGCGAACAATAATTACATCATAGTCATAGCTGTAGGTTTTTTGTTTGTTTGTTGCTGTTTTTTTAATGTGTCTTTTAGCACTCGCAATAGCATAAGGTCATACGAGCGCGCGGGACACATTAAACACTTTCAGTTGGTAGGACATTTTGAATTTTGCCCGGGTGGCGGCCGAGGCCTTCTCATAAATCGATTTTTAGACCATGAGGGGATCTTAAACGTGCGCAACTTGTACACGGGGCCTCTAAGATTTTTTTTTCGCCTTTGTCCGAGAAGGTTAGGTGTAGATCTTTCCTACCCGACGATCAGGAGTGTGGTTGAAAGACAGCAGTTAGAAGTAAGAAGGAGCCAAAGAGTAGCAATAGAAAGGCTGCAGAAAGAGTCAGGAGCCCAGTGGAGGGGGCAAAGGCGGTGAGGGGATGGGGATCAGAAAGTGGAGACGAAAGCAGACGACAGAACACTGCTAGAGAGCAGGAAAGGAGGTGAAAGGAGACACTTTTAGAAAAGAATTTTTTTTGGTCGCTACCCGGATTCGAACCCGAAACCTTTGAATGAGAGGAAAAAACACCATAACCTCTTGGCCACGCTCAGAGCCCCCGGCTGTTCCTTATTTACCGTCAGTACGGTACGATCATAGATGTACACTACTAGGCACGTGACTCTATGGGCACGATAGGAGTGCTCGGTGGGTTCCTTGCTTAGAGCAGTCTGACGTCACCCAGGAGAGTGAACAAGAATAACATCATAGCAGAAGCAGTGCCGCCCCCCCCACAGGGCGATGCTACTGACTGGAGTGTCTTTATGCCTTTCCCAAAGGGGGTGAGGGGGGAGCATTACCATGTTCTGTTGCACAGTAGAATTGTAATTGTAAATGTGCCGATTCATCAAAGTCAAGCTCATAACTGAGCCGGAATAGCAACAGGGAACTGCGGCTTTTTCTTTCTTCATCCTTATGATCGTCATTTTTTTCTCTACTTCTTTTGTATGTTTGTGACTCTCTTGTGACCCGCTATTTCCGAGGTGCCTTGATAGTCGAAACTTTGTGCTGTTGAAGCTAGAGAGGTGAGCAGAGTAAGCCCGATTCCCTGTAAGGACTTGATTCTCTGTTGACATCCACCTCTTGGCGCTCATATGACCTTATGCAGTTGCGAGCGCCGTAAAACCTCTACTAAAACTAGCTAAAAAGAGCAACATCACAATTATGAGTCCGGTAGCGTAACCACAAGGCCACTGTTGCCACACATTTGAACAGGTTGTCAACATTACGTTATCCGATTATGGCATTCTTATGTTGTTTATCCCCACATGTTTTCTCTTTGTTTTTCTATTTCCAGGCGTGAGGTCTATCGTCAAGGAATTAAAGTGTCCATTCTGGAGCCAGGGTACTTCAAAACAAATATTCTCAACTTTGAGTTCCTCACGGGCAAATGTAAATCTTCCTTTGACCAGGCTAGTGATGAAGTGAAGACAGCCTATGGTCCAGATCATGTGAAAAATTGTGAGTAACAATCAACTTTCAATTCCTGCAGTTGTGTTTCTCTTACCCACCCTCATACATTCTCCCCCACCCCCCTCTTTTTGTAGACCTTACTTTGCAGGACATAGTGCATGACTATTAGTAAACACAGTCGAAATTGTCCAAGATGGCCACCCACGTTCAAGAAGGAGAATGTTTGTCTTAGACAGGTGGATGTTTGGGGCAGTGTCATTATTATATTCTTTTAAAAAATGTAAGAGGTGGAAATGGAAAGTGGTTGTTTGTTCAGGTGATTGTCTTAGCTGTTGTTAGAGCTGGTTCGACTGCAATTTTGGGCAATCTAGAGTAGTTTTCTTTTACATTACAGTGGAAACCTGATATAACAGAGATGATGGGACCAGAGGAAAAGCCCTGTTATATCAGATCCCTGTTAAATCAGAAATGCAAGGGAAGTAAGCATTTGTGGACTAATTCAGCTGTATTTATTCATGGGTAGTTTCCCTTGCCACAAGTACCCTCAAACAAGGGTTTTAGCCATGTGGCAGGCCTGCGCATGACGCATTATGTGTTCGTGTAGCTAGGCTAAGGGCTAGATCGAAGTCTGCAGCACACCGCAGCCCTCTTGCGCTTCATCCGCTGCATGTGCTTACAGTGGCGTGGGCTTGCTCCATCACTGCGTTACTCTCTCTCTCTCTCTTATTTTTTACGCATTGTTAACGAGCCTTTGTCCCTGCTTTAACCGATTTGGGCTCTGATGAGGCCCTGTTATTGCCGATAAGTTTTAAGAGAGACAAAGAGTAACGGGGATTTTAAAAATCCTTGTTATTACCGGATCCCTGTTATTACCAGGCCTGTTACATATGGTTTCCACTGTAGATAGTCTTTGCATCTGTTCTTTGTGTGCTAATCGTTTCCCCTCCTTTTTCTGTTCTCAGACGTGACTTTGGTAAGCGAGACGATGAAAGGGGCCTCCGCAGACATAGATCTATGTGTGTGTGCGTGTGTGCACGCAATAACTTCCAAATTTCCTCGCACTAGATACGTTGTTGGAAACGACGCCAGATTTATTTATATCCCTCTGTCACTTGTCCCGGATTGGTGTGGCGACTGGATTGTTCGCTCCATGATGAGTTTTATGTTGTCCAAGAAAGGTTGAGAATTTTTACGTAATTTTCTATACTGAATATTGGGCATGACCAAAGATATGGATTCCAAAGTTGAAAAGTATAGTTTCCTGTCCAATGCTACGATCCAAACTCAGTTCTTATTAAAAGATCTAAAGCAACTGTTTGACATACATGCATTTAGTGGGTCAATTCGTTAAAAAAAACTGTGACCCTTTATTTTCTCAAGTGCAGTATGCATATACGTTTTAGATTATTGTTAAACAGGTTTTGCGAACTTCATACCTCGTTTACATATGAGCTCAAATGATAAACAGGTAGGTCTATTTTCAAATATTATTTTTTTCAATTTTCAGAGACACAAAACACTTCTCGTCCTCCCTTTTCTTGTCGTTTTACCTGACAAAGAATAGGCCCGACTTATTGTTCTTGACTGTCTATACTGCATTTTTTATTGCTTTTATGGTGGTTGGAAAACAAAACAAAAAAATGATTTGAGAAGTTTTTCTTTTCCAATACCAATGAACAGTAATTCCCAGAATCACTACATTTTCAAGAAGTCTTGCCAGTCACTTTTTGAGTGTCTTAAGTTAAATTTTGTTTTTATTATATGTTTTGTATTATCTGTATATATATCTTTACTTACAGACTTAAAAATCATCTTTTTTTAAAACCTAAATCATCTTTTTTAAAACTTAAATCATCTTTTATCAAACTTGTCGACTATGGCTATAAGCAATCTAAAATACAAAGTGTCTGATGTAGCGGCAAAGAAATTAAAACGATTGACAATACAGGTTTCTTGTTGGTGGTTGGTGGGTGCTCTGGTACGGTTTGTTCCTTCTTTCCGATCAAACATCTATGTGTCATGGCGCAGAGGAATCCGGCGCTCGGTAATTTTTGGACATGTGGAGCTATTGGTATGATTTTAAAGCTTGTTCTTTTGTCCTCCTTTAGCTGAAAAAATATACTCATCTATCGGGAATAGACTTCGAGATATTTGAGGTTGAGGGAGGTGGGGATCGTCTGATTTCAGAGGTAAAATTGTTGAGAAAATGGCCGCCAAAGTTTAGCGACTTCCAAAACTTGAGAGTCCTTAGAAACTTCAAATTTACATTTTTGTGCCGAAAGTCAGCATTTTATAGTAAAATCCACCCAGAAATGTGTTTTTAAATGGACGTTTAAGGCGCTGAGTCAAAAAACAAAAATTTGATAAGAATTACCAAACGGATAGAAAAATGCCGGTTTCTTCGATTTCATTATTTTGACGAAGGCCTGATTTCACCATGATTTCACCATGATACCTCACATATACATTATCTCTCGTCCTTCTTTTTTTGGGATGTTACTCTCTTGAAACACCTCTAATATGTTCTGCAACGTATATGACCTATATATTTGTGTTGCAAGGACTGTAAAAAAAAAGCCTTCTTAAAAAAAAAAACATATTCTATTATGAGCTTGTAGTAAATCAAGTTTCTTTGAGATGTTGATTTGTTAAGTTTGCCCAGTGCTCTGTTGTACAATGATGTCTTTCTTATATGTTATATATACACAAAATTTAACAAATGGTCACTTTTAAGAACAAGTGGGCTAACCCAGATTAGGGGGTTTTCAGAAATCTTGACCTACACCAAAAGTGGGAATTGCCCTAACTATAGGAGAAGTTTGGTTTCAATTTCATTGATGTGTATATTTGTTTGGCTATAGAGAAAACTCTCCTTGTTTTTTAAAGAAAATGAATAAGGGGCAAAAACTTTACCTTCGATTTTCTCAAAGCAGCATTTTTCGGGATAGCCCCCTTGTGCTTAAAAGCGACCCAATAAAGTCAGATTTTTGTATGGTTTCAATGTATCATTATTGTAGTAAGGGAATAATGTAACCAGGTTT